CCAGCGCTCTCCGGTGTTCGTCGATCCTTTTATAGAGGGGCCTCCCAGTTTCTACATATTTTTGTCCGCATCCTTGACACTCCACCAGATAAACTGTTCCCCTGAGCTGGCAAATTTTAGAGTCGTTGCAGTAAATACAACCTGCCCTTCCACCTCTTACCTAAATGAAACACAGCCTTAAAAGTAAATAATATAGTGAAGTGCTCACCACTTCCGATACGTTTAATATTCCGTCCGCCACCAAATTTAAAACGTCTTCTTACCTTTTCAAGGCCTTATGAAAATAGATGTGGAAGGGCAGGTTGTAGTTACTGCAACAACTCTAAAATTTGCCAGCTCAGGGGAACAGTTTATCTGGTGGAGTGTCAAGGATGCGGACAAAAATATGTGGGAGAAACTGGGAGGCCCCTCTACAAAAGGATCGACGAACACCGGAGAGCGCTGGGGAATCCACCTTCCTACCCCAATAGCAGTTTCTCCAGGCATCGCACACATGAACACGCTCACCAAGAACCCCCTCATTAACCATCACAGTGCTACACCGCTCAGTGGAGAACACAATGGAAAGGAAAATATTGGAGGCTCTGGAAATAAAACGGCTGTCACCAGAAATAAACAACAGGGAGGAGCTACGTGACATCATGCAAGTGATAATGTGATCGCGCCACAAGTATCCCACTATTTAAGGGCATGGTTGGGGTGGGTTGGTCATTTATTTCGGGACAACTGGTAAGTGGCTTGGTGGGGGTGGGGTCCGTGCGGGTTGCACTTTGTAGAAGGTATAACCAACAAAACAAGCTAAATATTTTCAGGCCTGACGAAGGTGCTACGCACCGAAATATTGCAAGTTAAGATATATTATAATAAACTTTTGAGACTTTCACTGTCTTTTGAGTTTTTTGGAATAAACTTTTGGAGTTTCACATTGTTGTTACACACTCAGATAAGAAATGAGACTCCGGGACAGCACCATACTCCTATGTGGAAAGTACTAACATTGGTACTTTCACAGTCATTCACTGGCATAGGCGCCACGCTTGGAGCCACATACGAATGATAGCTAACGAGCGCAAAGAAAATGCGATGTGATGGTCTTGGATCGGCTGCTGTTATCTCGATGAGTGGGCATGCTCTGGCACTGTTTTCTCCTCAGCTCTGCCGTTCCGAACTTTGTCGGAGTTTTTGCCAAGAAAATCACTCATGACGTCTTAGGCGTAAGGATATCTTGAAGTTTAGCGAAGGCACCCACGAAATAAAGCCGCACTTGGTGGGTAATAGCACTTATATACATTAACCATGTCCTAACGTGAAACACCTTCTTGTTCGTTAGCTCAGGCAGGTAGTTTAGGGAAAACAGGCTTTATAATCAGTAGTTTTCTGGAAATGTTGACCTTAACATTTTCATGTTCACAACACCTCCTTTTTATCGTAAAGCTACTCTTTTTCACAGTTTTTGGGGGCGGCAAGCGTTTCGCTCGAGCCGAACCTTCCCTCCATTCCTTTCACTGTGACAATGATTTTATAAAGTTGTTTTAGAATATTTCAAAGTTATTAGACCGATGATCGTAAGTCTTAAGGAACTACGAACTAAAGCACCTCGTGCATTCTCGAAGCATCGTCGAGATAAAAGACTGAGGGATGAGGATGTGGAGCGTATGCGGAAAGAACGTCTGGCGAAACGAGCCATGAGGTAGGAACAAGCACTTTAGTCTTCCAGTTCTTCTTTTTTTCTTGATCATTTCATGTTGCTGAGCTTTTTAACATTCATCATATCTTTTATTTACAGTCGCACCCCTTCACCAGATGAAACTCTCTTGGGAGGTATAAAGAAACGTGAACGATCTCCTCTTGAGCGAATAAAAAAGAAGGACAAGCAAAGCGGTATGATATTCACTGCAGTTATGATAACTTCTCTTGAATGGCCTTAGATTGCTGAGGGATTATTTTAATCTTGTATTTTTTTACAGAGAGTTCAACTTCCCGAACGAGTGGTCTTTATTGAGCCTTCTGACATTGGTACAAATTTTATCCTTTGTCTTATCAGTCTAGTCTCCAGGTTGTGAAGGTTCTCAGGCGGATCAGTCTCAAATGTCTCCTGTCTTTTCGGGCCCTTGACTAGACCATTCTTGGAAGGCTCCATAAGGACTGTTCGTACCGATAACTTTTGCCTGGTCAAAATAGTTGGTCTTGGACTTTGTTTCTTTTATTCGTTCCATTCAGAGAATAGGAAACACGATCCACCAATATCATCGACAACACCTGAGCAGATTACTGTAACGGTTGCGAAAATGGAGATGGTCGAGTCCGTAGAAGAAGGTGATGCAACATTCCTCGCTGAAAGTGGTATGCACTGTCTAAACAGATAAGCTGTATTATTTGTGGCGCTCTAGTGTTCACTTTGTTTCAAACTCTTCTTTTCGCTCTTCATTCTGAATTATTTGAAATGGTTCAGCACTATTTCACTGATTCTACTCCATAAATCAGCTTCTTTTCTTGTCCGAAACTGCACACAGAGGTTATTCAGTGCACTAATAACGGATATGAAATTATGCTGGGCTTATTTGTCGTCCTGATCACGAATATGACGTTTACTCTTGGCGCCGGCGCCAGTGTAAGGCGCTCTGATGGTCTGTGCTCTGCTAAGGCTGAGCCTGGCGGGAAAGAAATAGGAGAAACTATTTCTCCCAAGCTCCGCCTTAGCAAAGCGCTAGATTGCGCCGTCAAATGTCAAAAAATGAATGCCATTTTTGTGATCAGTTTATGTATCAACCAGCCCTATTGTGCAACTTTTGATAGATTTTGGTGAAAAAGTGATCGCGTCAAATCGGCGCCAATTTGCGCGAAGTGGCCCCAGCGACAGGCTACGAGTCTCACATCCTTGGTCAAGGTGTCGAACAACCCACGTATGCGTTTTCATCGGTTTTGGTGAGTGGTGGCGCCAGCGCCAAAAATGAATGTCGTATTCGTGATCAGGACCCTGGATAGCACCTATCACTGGACAGCTGAGTATCAGCGGACACTGGACAGCAGAGTATCAGCGATTTTTTTTTGAGTTTTGTAGTAATAGTGGAATAGTGCCGGATGTTCTTGTTCTGTCCTTAGTTTCTTTCTGTAGACCATAGAATGTGGTTGTCAGCATATCTGCTGACATTGTAATGGCTTTGTATTGATGAGCAGAAGATCAACAACAAACTAACCGCGAGTAGTTAATTGCGAGTATCTTGCAGAAATCACCTCCTTCACCCTGGATTCGCCTGCTGGACCACAAAAATATTCGAAATTTGACAGTAGCCCAGAACTAGGCCGGACCACAGCCCTGGTAGTGATGTTCTCTCTCGTCATTTTCTACCTCCTAGGAGTGAAAAAATAGGAGTTTCAGTGGCAGAGTACAGTGATGTGGAAGTGGAACCTGAACCAGAGTTTGATCCATCAACGGCAACTTACGAAACGTTGACCGACGAGCAGAAAGCATTGGTGCGTGCCGTCCCTCTTCAGATTTTTTCCAGGAATATTTTAAAATGTGCTGGTAAACAATTGTATCGTTTCCAGCTTTCTCCGGATACAAAGAAACGTTTGGAAAATGAATGGCAAAAGCGACTGATAGCTCAGTTACCTATCTACTATGCTTGTGAGTGTTTTTTCCATCCTTTCGATTAGGCTTTGGCTAAAACTTAGCCTTTACAGCATTTATGGGCTGCCGTAATGTTGTTGAATTCGACTGTGTAAACCGAGTGGAAGAAGGAACTTTTGGTGTAGTATATCGTGCTAAAAACAAGCGTACAGGTGCTTCATTTTTCTTTTATAAGTTCCCTCCAGGCGGCGTGTTATCTTTCCATTTTTTTGAGGGCAAAGGGGACGATAACCCTGGAACTTGGTCTAGAATGGTAGCAGGGGTGCTTTACAGTGAGAAAATGGCGAAAAAGGGAAGTGACACGGTCAAAAACCTGCGAAAAAACCTTCCTTCTGCACGGCCTAGAAAGTAATTTCGGACGAGTTTCCCGTTAGCATCGTACCAGTAACCGCAATGGTAGATACGGCATATATCCATGCAGCAGCGCAGCCGCTTCACATCAACTCCTCTGTTTCATATTGTAGTCCGCAAATGAAGCGATATGAGCATCACCACCGGTCGGACATTTGTGACGGGTGAGCGCAGTGGACGTCGGTATGCTGCAGCTTGATAGATCGCTATGTAGTATAACCTTCCTTAAAAAAAGGCGCCGAAGTCTGAACTGCAAGGCCTATCAATCCTAGACGTCTTGGTTTATCGTGTCGCTTGCCTTAGAAGATATTATGACATTCGTCGTCTCCAACGTTCTCAACTCATGAAACTATACTTACCGAATACTTTGAATTCCACAGTGGTTTTCTGCTGGAAGATATCACGCATTCCCATTCCGATCCAAGCGATGAGTTTGCGAAGGATGAACGTACTCTCACTCGCTGAAAGTACCGTCACTTCCCGAAAAAGGTTGAAACTCCTCTTGCAATGTTGCTTGATCCATTGGTTTCTCGTGCTACTCTGCAAAGAACGTCCCGCGATTAAGTTTCATGGGAAGTGGTGCTCAGTCATGTACCGTTCTCGCTCAGTTACTCTACGGTAAAGAAAAACATCAAAACGCTAATCAAAGACCCTTCAGCAGTCCCGCAGTCTCAGTGTAAAGGTTTTTTTAGACTTAATGGCTAATCGACATTCTGCGACCGCGGTGCTTCTGTCTGCTCGCAGATCATTTCTTGGCATCCATCCAGAACCAAATCTCATCCAACTTTAAGAATAAGAAATCTCTGTGATCAACGTTGGGATTGCGGTCATCCTACATACTATTGCAATGATGTGTCCAGTGTAAGTGGCGAATCGAAGCAATGCTG